CTATATATATTGGAAGTATATGGCTCAAAGCATTCATTATTTCCAAGAATCTGACTAGTGGAAGCAGTCGACATAGGTGCTATCAAAAGTGAATTTCTCACTCCACTCTTAACTATCATATCCCTAAGAGCGGTCCAATCCCACCGACCTGAAGGAGTAACACCCCACATATCAAGCTGAAGAATGCCCTGAATTTTAACAAACAACTCACAGTGAGCAAAACAGATCAATAAATAAGAATATAAGGCATTACAATTTGAAATTTGTTTTTTAAAAAATAAGGCATTACAATTTGCAATAAAATTGAATGACCAAATCTAATTTCTTTGATTGCACTTTAAAGAACTGTCAAAATCACCAACCTTACTGACAGGACTCCCATTATACGTCTCATAGGGACCTTCTTTCTCTGCTATACTCGAAGAAGCTTTCAGAGCATGGTAGTATATAGTCTCAAATATCTCCTTGTTCTGCTGTTAAGCCTGAAATTGAAAACTAGAAAAATATCAGATAAAACTAAAAAGGTTGAAAGGTATACCATATAATTGTATTGGTGATCAAATCTACCTCGGGCGAATCAAAGGCAATGCCAAGTAAGATGAATGTATCTGCAAGCCCTTGAACTCCAATACCAATGGGTCTATGACACAAATTTGATCTTTTGGCAGTTTCAACAGGGTAGTACTTGACATCAATAATTTTGTTAAGATTTCTTGTTACAATTTCAGTAACCTGACACAACATCCCAACAAAAAGAAATCACAATCATAATAATATTAAAAACAATAACATTTATTACATTCAATCCATCTCAAATATGTACTAGATGGATGAGTACATTTGTAAGGTAAAGAATCAAACCTCTACAAGCTTGTCAAAGTAAAAAAATCTATTATGAGAACCTCTACTTCCAACAAGCTTAGACGAATGAGACTCTAGTGGAACTCCCTGAAGAGAAGATAAGTAATAAGGGTAACTGTGTAAATAAACAGACCCTAGGGAGCAACTATCCAAAACGTTAAAACAATGTATCACTTTTCTTTTCCCTCACATATCTAGACAGTTCAATAGATGCCAGATTGCAAACAACAGTTTCCGTTGGACTTGTGTATTCTATAATCTCAATACACAAATTTGAAGATTTAATGGTGCCAAGATTTTTCTGGTTGCTTTTCTTATTGCAAGTATCCTGAAATAAAAGTGAGGGGAAAAGGGTTCAGATCATAATACTCGTCATCAATGGTGGATCCACAAATATTTTTTATGCTTTCACACATAGGCTAATAAAATTTTTTTTGAATGGGGTGAGCACAACTAAAATTTCAAGGTGGGCACCATTAGTAACATAAGAAACTAACCAAAGAAAATTCAAATTCTAGTATGGGCACGTGCCCACCCTCAACTATATGTATCTTCGCCATTGCTCATCATACAACATAAATGCACAATAAAATACAAATCTTGTTTGGACAAATCACCTTAAATAGCATGTAAGGGGTACCAGTTTCTATCTGGGATTTCAGGATCTCAAACCACAGGTTCTATGCTTGGACAACCTTCTTTGCCTTGCCCTAGATGTTAAACAGAAACTTTCAGTAACTATTTTTTTCTGTTGGAAAAAGGAATAAAAAAAGTACAACAGTATAACCTCTCTTTCATAATGAATATACAACTTTTCAAATTCTTCACCCCAATAATCTGCCAGCCTTGGAGCCTTATTAGGACAGAATAATGACCACTGACCATTACTCTAAACTCTTTACATAAAAAGATCAGGCACCCAAAGGGCATTAAATATATCACGAGCCCAGTGCTCTTCCTGTAGATACAAAATTCAGACATCATTTGATATAATATAATATTATACATTATTGTAGAAAAATACAAATTTTAGAACTTAACAACCAAACATTATAGCCCATGCAAACAAATTTAGGCAATATAAAAGTACCTTTCCATGGTTCTTCCTAAGATCCAGAAACTCAAAAATGTTACCATGCCATGGCTCCAAATATACAACAAAAGCACCTAAATAAATCGACAACAACATTTTTAACAAAAAGAAAACTGACAATTTTCATAAAACATCATAAAGAATTAAGTATACCCTTTCTTTTCCCCTTCCTTGATCAACATATCGAGCATTATCATTGAACACCCGCAGTATTGGGATAATTCCATTAGATGTACCATTTGTTACACGAATATAACTACCTGTGGCCCAAATGTTATGAACTGAAACACCAATACCTCCAGCTGATTTGCTGATAACAACACACTCCTTCAAAGTTTCATATATTCCTTCAATACTATCATCTTTCATGCACACCAGGAAGCAGTCATCTTTCATGCACACCAGGAAGCAGCTGCTCAACTACCACAACACAATCCAAAGAATTGAATAAACAATGGAATTTGAGTAGGGGCAATATCGATACTGTTCAACCTAATTTCGATATTTAAACCCTGAAATGGTTATTTAGGCTCGATAATGCACCCAAAATCATCCTAAAGGCCATAATTTGATTCTTGATTATGTACTAAAACTTTAAGGAGTTAATTAGGGTATTAAAGTATCATAAAAATGTCTTTTTAACTTCTAAAACATGATTTGATCATAATATCAAATATAAACCCTAAAATGTTAAAATACTCAAATCCTAGAAAAACTTAATATTTATGATAATCTTAACACTCCAAAATATTAGAAATACACCACCTTGATGTTAGAAACCCAAAATGAAGCTCATTTCTTAGCCACACTCATTTCCTTGATGATTTGGTTGAAAACTCACACTTTTTTCTTTAACTTTGGCTTTATCCCTTGGAGAGGAGGAGGAGAAGAAGAAAATATGAAGAAACAAAGGGGAAAGGAATATGAAAGAAATAAATAGGCTCATCTTTTGAAAATGAGATAATTGCACATTTGATCATTCTTGAATTTTCCAAAATTTAAAAACTCATTTTTAGTTAGTTGGGCTCCGAACTCAATCCAATTAAACCCAACTCGGCCCAATTGCTTAAAATATGAATTTTATGGGGTCCACTTATCTCTCGGGTAAACCTGAAACTACTAGCTCAGAATTTGGAGTGTTACAGATACCCAACAGACAATATGTTTACTCTATGAATAGGGTATCGATACCACCAGTCCACCAGTAAAAAAACCCTTATTTTTAACTATTTAAAGAATAATATTGATACTATTCATTCAGTATCGATACCCAAATCTCTATTTGAGCATGAAAACGACATCTCATTTCACCCATTCGTCCATCTAAAGTCCTTATGAGTTATTTAAGTCTTATGTAAGATAAAGGGTCATAATAAGTCATTTTACATGCTCAATAACATCATAAGTTGAAATCTACCATGAATGCTCTTACATTTTTCATGAACTCCATGCAAACCAACCAACACATCTAGTGATCTACAAGTGGTATAGTTTAGTTAGAAATGTGTTATCTTTTCTTTCCCCTTATTTTTGAAACTTCCTCCAACTTCTCTTACTACACAAAGGTCAACCACATAAGTTACTAACTTGACTGAGAACATGGAAATATAATAAGAAGGTTTCCTAAGACTCAAATATCCCAAAAATAGACTGGTTTGTCAAGGGTTTCTAAACTCCCACTAAATCCCATCTTATTGCCATTATGGCTAAAACTTGATTTTGTGGTCTTAACTGGAATCTTTAAGGATATTGATTTCAATTCTTACCTTTGTAAAACCGGACTAGATATGAAGGCCAATAAAGCTTCCACCTTTGTCCAACTACCAAAGAGAAAGGAAGAAGAGTTTGAAAGTAGAAAAAGACAAGAAGTGTGGAAAAAAATGAGATAATAGGACAAATTTTTCCTTTTCCTTCGAGTCGTGTGACCTAATCACAATTAGGGGGAATCAGCCTTTGAAAGAGTCAGTGGCAGATCCACGTTGGTATTAGGGTTGGCACGTGCCACCCTGAAATATTATGGAATTCAAATTTTCTTCTTTAAAAATTGAAAATTTCTTCATTAATGCATGTGTGCCTACCCTAAAATTCTATGGTGCCCACCCTGAAATTTTATCGTATCAAAAAAAAATTCTTTTATTAATATATGTGTGCCCACCCTAAAATATTTTCAGATCCGCCACTAGAAAGAGTTAATGAGTTAATTACCTCCTTGGTCCCTTTAGCTTTGGTTACTATTAAAAAATACACCTTTTTTTATATCCAAATAAGTTCAAACCAAATACAATTCAACCAAAACTTGTACTAAACTTCCCACAAGGTTAATGAATTTACCTAAAATCCTATTGGGTTAGCCCGAAACTATTAACTCGGGATTTGAGACGTTATAAAAATATTATTATTTTTTTGCTAGAGGCTTAGTGGGTTACTTACTTATTGGGATATAAGTTATATAAACTATAAAAGTTCAATTTTTATCATTTTTTGGATAACATGAAATTAGAATTTAGCTAATCGATTTTTAATCCGATTATCTATTTTTTTTCTTAAAATATCTATTCCAAATTATCTGAAAATAAGAAAAACAAATTGAGTATTTGAATTTTTAGATAAAATCAATTGATCGAATTAATCAAATTAAAATTTTTCACAACCATATATATGAAAAGACGAGGATAATTATAAAATAATATTTAATGTTATTTAAAATAAGGGCATTTCAAAAAATACCCTTAAACTGAAAACCAATTAATCAATGACATAAACTTAATAAAAAAGAATTATAAATAATATAGATGTTAAATTAAATTATAATGGATAAATTCATAGTTTAGACATAATAAAATGACTAGAATTGGAAATTAACCTAATAAAAGTTTTCAAATTATATCCAAATCCAATTCCCAGATTTCGAGGACCTAAATTAAATCAAACCCTTCCAATAAAACCCTAACATCTCATCCCTAGCCCTGCAATTAATTTCTTCAAGGTTCCAACTTCTTTACCTCAAAGAAGAGGTGAAATCTTCGAATTTTCAAAAAACGAATCAATGGATTTCGACGAGTGCGACTATCTGGAAAAAACCGTTGAGGAACTTGAAGATTCGAAGAAGAAGAAGAAGAAGAAGAAGAAGAAGAAAGACGGAGGAGGATTGGAGGATAAGAGTGAGAGAAGCTATAGGAAGAGAGATGGCGATAGAGAGGAAGAGGAGGGGGATGGAAAGAGCAGCAGCAAGAAATCGAGAAGCGGCCGCGTTGAGGACGACGAGGAGAGGAGAGATCCGGATAAGGATAGGCACGGAAACAGCCGCGACAGAGATAGGGAAAGGGAGAGAGATATTGATAGGGATTTAGAGAGGAGGAGCAGTAGAGAGAGGGATAAGGAAAGGGAGAGGGAAAGAAAAGACAAAGATAAGGAGAAAGAGAGGGAAGGGAGAGAGAGAAGTAGCAGTAGGTCGAGAAGGCACGAAAGTGATCGTGAGATTGAGAGAGATAGGAGGGAGAGAAGCAGCAGTAGGTCGAGGAGGCATGAGAGTGATCGTGAGCTAGAGAGGGAGCGGGAGAGAGATAGGAGAGAGAGAAGCAGTAGTAGGTTGAGGAGGCACGAGAGTGAGCGCGAGCAAGAGAGGGAGCGTGACATTGACATCAGGGATAGCAGGTATTATTTTCTCCAAATGAATTATATATTCTAACTGAGTTGTAGGAACCTATATTGTAGTTTTGAAATGCTTATGCCAATTGTAAAGATGACTGGCTAGTTCAATTAAACATGTATTTGCAATTTGCATCCATCTTGATTAGCACAGAAACATGGTTGGAGTGGTCGCTTTCCTCCCCTTATGCAAGCAAGTTCCTGCTAGTTTATGCTGTTTCAGAATTCATTTATTTGAGAGATTTATATTCACGAAATAAGGGAGGTGATTTCTTAGTTGTATCCTTTACACTTACAGAACCGTTTTGCCTTTTGTATGGGCATTTTTGATATAATGAGGATGGTAATGTCTTGTAAATTTGTGCAGATCTGTTTTCTAGATCTTAATATTAGTAATATTCTGCATCTGTTTTCTAGAGCTTAATTTTCGTAATATTCTAAATTATCTCATGAACTTGGATGTTTCAGGAGATTTAAGGATAAGAAAGATGCAGTGGAGCCTGAAGCTGATCCTGAGAGGGACCAGAGAACAGTTTTTGCTTACCAGGTAGATACATTGTACTTCTCCCTTTCATCTTCAGAGGATTATCAGACATAAATATTTTTTGTGTGTATAAATTTGCACCCCATCTTTTCATTTGCACTATTTGTTAATTATTGTTTGATGACAGATGCCTCTAAAAGCAACTGAGAGAGATGTCTATGAATTCTTCTCAAAAGCAGGCAAGGTTAGTCAGGTTTAGCTTGGTATTTTGTTTCTTTGCGAAGGTTGTAGTCTATGTTGACCCTACTCCTTTGACCTTAGCAGTAGATAATAAAAGCACCTCAATACCCTTTCAACTGATGTACGTTGATCAGGTGCATGCTTGGTGCGTCTAGGTGTGCTTTTTTTAGAAGGCAATATGAGTAAGGAAGGCTGCCTAATTGAAGTTATATTTTCTTTTACCATCCTTTTCCACTAGACGTGCGTATACTTGAATAAAAGGGGACAGTATCAAACTCTCTACTTTTTTATATTTAAGTATTCAACAACAGACATGATACTGAGGAAATCATGTATTTTTACCAACAAGTTGCATGTCCTGTAAATAAACTTTACCACTCTTTAGAGTTATTAACATAATCGTATATCTTAAGCTTATTAGACACACACACACGCACAAAGAGACATGTATACTTATTGCGGATTTCATTACTCAGGTGAGCATTCTTTGATTTTTCTTTTAAGCCTTGTGCCTGAAGCGATATAAGGGTATTTGCACCTAGATGCACTGTGCACCTTTGGAAACATTGGTTGTACTAAGATTATCAACCACTGCTTTCAAGGATTCTAAGATTCCACCACATTGACTGGTCTGGGAAGAACTTCATGGAATGTTTTGAAAATTATTGTACATTTGAAATACTGAGTTTATTTTCTTAAAAAACAAATTATTTTTAAAATTTCTAAAATGCAGCAATATCTATTTTGCATTATCTGCTATGTGTCTTGAAATTCATCTGTCTTTCCGATGCCAAGTTGCCAACTATAAGTTAATGCATAAGCAATGTTTAGAATGATGTGAATGCATATAATTGAGATACATCTGCTTCGTCTTGCAGCATATGATCCCCTGCCTTCAGTTTCAAGTAGTATTATGACTTTCTTGTGTCTCAACATTCTATATATGTGGGTGAGTTAAAAGCATGTGTTAAACAATATAAACTTGCGGACTTTCCTTAAAAGGTGTCTCATCAGGAAGCTTGGAAGTCTGGGATCTCCCTGCATATTTTATGTTTTGAAGTTATCATCTTACGTTTGATCTCATGTCTATTTGCCTTTATCACGTTTAGGTGAGGGATGTTCGGCTGATCATGGATAGGAATTCAAGACGATCAAAGGGAGTTGGGTACGTGCCTTCATGTTGAGCAAAGTTAGACTTTGTTTTGCAATCATTTGAAATAAAACTTCCTTTCAAAATCAAGGTTAAGTCTATTCTTAAATGCACTAGCAATGCGATGATGATGAGGATTGATGAGAATAGCTCTCATGTTGCGTTCACAAATCACAAATTAGATAACAGAAATGTGAACTTTTTCCTTTCAGTTTTTCTTAGCATTAAATGCATCTTATAAACATGGGTGTCTAATTCTCTTCAATTTGTTAGTGGTTCTGATAAGGATTTATAGATACTCCATACAGTTTAACCTTAAAATGGTTTTATTACTGACTTACTTATCGCTAGGCTTTTTCTTTTTCTTTTAATATGTTAAACTTTGTTTTTTTGGTTGATAAATTGGAGTGTTTGGGATGTTTTCTTTGTTCACCTTTGATTTTGGTATTTTTTGGGTTCATTCTAACATCTTTGTTCCATGAGTATAATCGTAAGCTAAAGATGGTATCTTCCCCATCTTTTTACCTTCGTTTGAAATTGAGACATGCCAATCTTTTAATCTCATTTTCAAGTCGTTTGTGTTTTTTGATTATCATTGTTAGATTATCTCGGTGTATGAAGTCTATTTTACTTTTCTAATATTGTTATACTGAGCAAACCTTTTATTGCATGAGACATCAGATTCAACCAAAGAGTCTCAGCACAGCTCTCCACACTATGCTTTTCCTTTCCCCGCTTCTCTTTGTAGATTTTTGGTCGCAATTTTTCTTGTATATTCAGAGAAACTAATTACAGATGCTGATAAAATTGCAGGTATATTGAGTTTTACGATGTGATGTCTGTGCCAATGGCAATAGCATTGTCTGGTCAACTACTACTCAGTCAACCTGTGATGGTTAAACCTTCAGAGGCTGAAAAGAACCTTGTTCAGTCCACTACCTCTGGTGCAGGCGCAGGCAGTGTCGTGGGAACATATGGAGTTGTTGATAGAAAATTATATGTAGGGAATTTGCACTTTAACATGACAGAAATGCAGCTTAGACAGGTAATACGACTGAATGTTCTCTAAACCCTCTTTCAAATTGCTGACTGGATTTTAACTCCCTGTTAAAAGAAAAAAAATGTCGATGAAGCACATTTTAATAGTAGTTGCTTAGGGGGAAAATTGGAAGGAGTACCATAGATGATTTTGAAATGTTATTTCTTTTCACATTTTCCATGTTGATATTACCTAGTTCTAGTGTTTAGTCATTTTAAGGTGCATGATTTTCATCTCAGACCCTTTTCGTATCTTATGTTGATGGCTCAGATATTTGAACCTTTTGGACCTGTGGAGCTTGTGCAACTACCACTTGACCTTGAGACTGGGCAGTGCAAAGGTTTTGGGTTTGTTCAGGTTAGATATAGATGAAGACTTGGCTTATGTTCATTTTCCTGTACAGTAATAATTATGCATGTAGTTGTTGCCTTTTTGTTTTTGCAGTTTGCTCAACTTGAACATGCAAAAGCAGCTCAAAGTGCCTTGAATGGGAAACTGGAGATTGCTGGTCGAACCATTAAGGTAGGCTTGATAATTTCATGAAATTTGAGGATTATGTTAGTCTAATTTCAGTGTCTGATCTCTGTTTTTATCTTTAGCTGCAAAAAATGCAAAAAGAAAAAGAAATAAAAACTACAACTGCCTTTTTATTATATTAACTTCTTTATGGCTAAAATTGCATATAGGTTTCATCTGTTACAGACCATGTTGTTACTCAAGATACTACAGCAAAATCTGCAGATTTTGACGATGATGAGGGGGGTGGCTTGGTTAGTTGAAATGCATATTATTTTAGATAGTAGTATTTAAAGAATGCTGATTTTACAGGTTTGTTCCCAGTTAGTCTCATTCTTATAGTAGTGTTGTGGGTATTTTTTGGCCCGTGTATCTTTTATCCAGGCTTTGAATGCTCAATCAAGAGCATTGCTTATGCAGAAACTGGATCGCTCTGGTATTGCAACAAGGTTCGTTTACCCTTTCAGATGGTATTATCCAGTTTTTAATAATATCATAATCTAATGTAATAGTTTTGCAGCATTACGGGATCCCTTGGATTATCCCTCGTTAATGGATCTGCTTCAGCTCAGCAGACTGTTACATTGCCTGTCAATGGCCAGGGGGCATATCCGGCACTAGTTCTACCACCAATCATGTCTACTACAGCCCTTGATCTTATTGGACAGCCCAGTGAGTGTTTGCTGTTGAAGAATATGTTTGATCCTGCAACTGAGGTTTGGATTTTCCTGTTCTAAACATGCTATTTCATTGTTACTTGTGTTCTTTTCTGCTTCCTTGTACAAGGTAGTTATTTTTCTGCAAGTTCTATTGCCAGACGGAGTCAGATTTTGACTTGGATATCAAAGATGATGTTGAAGAAGAATGCAGCAAACATGGCAGGGTGAAGCATATTTATGTTGACAAGTAAGCAATGTACTGTCTATTGTTTGGGATAAACTCATTTCAGTAATTGTTTTTATTTTCTCAAATCTGGATAAGTATCTTGTATAGCCATTATTTATTGTTTATTATAGAGCAAATGTTCTATCTATGTTGAACAAGGGACCTATTTGTCAACCTATTGTTGGTTGTTTTACTCGATAACTCTGTTACCCTATAAATCGGTAATTGAGAATGCATTTTGGATGGCTACATCAGAATGAACTATCAAGTTGAGTGACATATCTGTACTCTGCATTTTCATTGTTGCAGGATTTTGCATTAGAGTTCCTAAAATTGCCAAATACATGTGTTATATATATAAATCATGTACGGAGAGACTAGCAAATGGATTTGATACTGAAATTTATACCCTTCAATCAGGTTCTCCATAGACTGGAAACTTAGGACTCTCCGATGCCAGTGGATAGTCACATTTTTCACATCTATTAATCTGTTTTTATTGTTTTAAGAAACTATGTACACATACGTGTGGAAATTGTGGAGATCACACATAGTTTTTATCTGGTGGTATTTCAACTTTCTTGAACACAAGGTAGAAGAAATTCACATACTTCCAATTGTCATTGAACAAACTTGACTAGTCTTTGTAGCTGATAATCAATGACTAATGACATCTTATTCTGTGTATTATGTCTTTTTTGGTCTACCATTTTAATTCGTCTGATTTCCCCATTCATATATTACTAATAACTGAAAAGTGTTATGGGAGAAGAAGGGATTAACATTGCCCCCTCCCAGCTGCGGTATAACATTTTTTTTCAATCTACAGAAACAGTGCTGGTTGTGTGTATCTCCGATTTGATTCCACAGAAGCAGCGGGTAAAGCTCAACGTGCAATGCACATGAGATGGTTTGCAGGGCGATCAATATCAGCATTATTTATGGTAAATATTATGGCTTTTACAGTCTCCTTGATCCTTGACTGAAGTTTGAATGGACTTCGATCTCTAGTTTCCCTTTGTGCCGTTAGGTTGAGTCTAAGTAATGGTTGAGTGCATTATGCGTTAATTAAGTTTTGGAATAACTGATGCAGCGACCCCATGAGTACGAAGCGAGGTTTAAAGGTTGATTGGCTTTGATTGAACCACATTACATTGGGTGGCGAACGAGGACATGTTTCACCGTGGGATTTTTATTTCGACAGAGTTTAGATTTTTATTCCATATGACCAAAATGTAAGATAATTCATATTTGTTTACATTCATTTTTGGAGGCAATACTTGGAGGACGCTTTTAATTATTATTTGTACTTGAATATATTCCAATGTCGATTATCAGAACTTGGGCCAATAATGCTTTACTCGGTTCGTTTTGGAAGTCTCCAACGAGACATTTCAACAATTATAGACATTTCAACGTGGGATCTTATCTGCTTTAGTTTTTTGGATTAGATTTGGATACGTGATTTAGATTCGAAGATAATTCTCACGAAGTTTTCTGCCAAGTCTGCTTGAACTCTTTGGAGTTCGGCGACTGTTTCGGGATCTACTTTTGGGGTAGATGAAAACCCCTTTCCGATAGGTTACCCGTAGGGATGGCAATGGGTCGGGTCGGGTTTTTGGGCCACCCGACCCGATCCGAGAAGAAAGGGTTTTTCACCCGTGACCCGACCCGACCCGACGAAATTAAGGTTTCACCCGACCCGACCTGAATATATGACTTAGAAACCCGACCCGACCCGAAATAATAATAAAAAAATTTTTATTCAATGAAAACAGTGACTTAATTGAAAAAAATTATATATGGAGGGATATTATTGTAATTATCTCTAAATATATAGGATAAAATTATATATATTTTTCGGGTCTGGTCGGGTCGGATTTTTTTCACCCTAAACCCGACCCGAACAGTACATTTAAAAAAACCCGACTCGACCCGAACCCGATTTTTTTTTTAAAAAAATCGACCCGATCGGGTCGGGTCGGGTCGGAACCGTCGGATTCGGGTTGAGTTGCCATCCCTAGTTACCCGTTACCCAGCTTAAAAATTGTTAGAGCTTTTTTGTTCCTAGTCTGATTTTATTAGTAGTCATGATTGGGGCTATAGTACTGAGTATGCATAGGGCTACCCATGGAGCGGTGAAAAGGCTGGTCGTTCTTTCGACCAGATCCCCCTAAAAATCGTATGTGCGGGTCTCCCCGCATGCGGCTCACGCCATTTGAGGTGATGCCAATTCTCGTTACTTTTCCGAGCCTCCCATGTTGACACTTCGACTTTGAGTATGATGAAGGGGTGGAAAAATACAGCCACTACGCTCAATTGAAAGCAGAAAAAAAAAACTCAAGTTCACTTTACTACTCGATTTTATTCAATTATCCTAGCACCTACGCGGGAAAAATAATTGGAATACCGCTTTTTTGTTGGTTAGAATCGCACCTTCCTTTCCTCCTGCAATGAGGCCGATCGCTGAGGTTGGTCTGCAACTCGGCATTCAAAGTGATTATTATATCCTACTACTCCAACCTGTCAATACATTGTGGGGGTCAGAGAATCATTGGCGCTATTTAGCCCTTCGTTTCGCCAATAAAACAAAGAAGTCATCCTGTGCCGGTTGCTCCTGCTGCTCGAACTCCCTCCAGATGTCCAGAAGGCGGGATAGTTTAACAAAATAATACCCCCATATAGAACATAAGAAAACCGGATCGGGTTTTGCTGCTATTCTATTGTTGCTTGCTATTCGAAGAGTAGATCTGTGCTCAGCTGGAATCGTTGGACCACTTTCTTATTCATCTGATGGGAAGTTGGTCAGTCTAGTTTGAATCAGGGAATAGAAGCCCCATCTCTCCTAAACTTCCCCCAGTCTTCGGCCCGAGCTGTATGGGGCATAAACTCGTCCCATGCGGTGTGAAGCAGTGTAAAACCAAAATACCCAACAAGCATTAGCTCTCCCTGAAAAGGTGATCCAACCCCGGTTTGGGGGATTAATTGTTTGGATACCCGAGAACCATAATCTTTCCTAGGAACAACAGGTGTGGAGCCTTGACGTATTCGCTTGGCCTTACAAAAGTCACTCTACTGGCTCGGGTCTCTGGAAGAGAGTAATTGCTCTAAGTGCGAGCGCGCGCTACTACTACATCATAAATAAAAATTGAAACTGTGAAGCAAGGCATGAAATACTCCCCGATAAAAGATTCTGATTTGCGATTGTTGGTGTTATTTGTTTGTCAATATAGTGAGATTTGTTTGTATATATTTTTGTCTTAACTATTTCTTTGTATGATTCTTATATTATGTCAATTGATTAGTTTTTTGTGTTAATGATTATAAGATGTTTAGTGTAATGTTGGATACTATCTATTTTTCTTAATAAAACTAGTGGTTTTTATTTGCATAAAAGTTCACCTACGGAATGATAGGGAACATTTTAAGTTTCACCTATTTAGAAAAATAATTCGGCGTCAGCCACTTAGCAAATCCATGGGTATTTGAGCCCGAATATCCAGAAAAAAACAGAATATTTGATGGAAGAACGGGGACTCTTTTGAACCTCCTGTTTTAATAGGAAAATCTTATATCTTGAAATTAATTCATCAAGTTGATAAAATATATGGGCGTTTCGGTGGACATTATGCACTTGTTACAACACCACTACTTAAGAGGAAGGTCCAAGCAAGGGGGACAGTGGGTAGGAGAAATGGAGGTTTGGGCCATAGAGGAATTTGGTGTTCTCATATTTTACAAGAAATGTTTAGCTCGCCAAGAAGTACTTGATACTACAATCATTGGGGGAACAATACCTAAACCTGAAGATGCTCTAGAATCTTTTTGATTGATAGTTCACGAATTACGATATTTGGCTATGGAACTGAATAATTTCCTTGTGTCTGTGCTCTTGTAGTAGATTTAATTTATCACTTTTTCTCCTATCATATTTTTGCATCAATTTACCCCTTAGGGTGCGTTTGGTTCACGGAATGTAAGATTACCAGTGAGAATAAAAGATTATCAGTGAATAGGATGACTGAGAATGTTGTATTTTGTGTTTGGTTGGTTTAGCATGAATGTAAGATTACCGTATTTGGTTAAATGAATAAAAGATTATTGAAATGTATATTTGACAAAATTGTCCTTATTATATATTTGTTTTTTTTAACAAGTTGGAAAATATTTATATATTTTCTTTAAAAAATTTAAATTCATAAAATTTATATAATTGTTTTTACAAAATTGAAAATATAAAAAAGTTTAATGAAAGGGTAAAATTTTATTTTACCCATGAACTTCATATAAAATTTTAATTATAGTTTTTTTTTATAAATCTAAAATAGTTTAAGGATAAATTTGTAATTTAACCCTCGTAGAATTTTTATTATTCAATGACAGAATATAAATATTTTTGAAAGAATTTTTTTAAGGGCATTTTAGTCCAAAACGCCGGTAATCCAACAATACCTAAGGAAATGAAAGTAATGACATTCCCGGTAATATATCCCAAAAAATCTACTATTGGTAATGTAAGATTATCGGGAATGACATTCCCGGCCAACCAAACGGGGGAATGTGGATTCCATTCCCATGAGAATCTCACATTTCCCCAACCAAACACACCCTTAGGGGTGTTCGGATCAAGGAAAAAATCATTATCGAGGAGAATATTCTTTTTCAGAATCACATACTCATGTTTGGTTCAAAAGCATTCCCACCAGGAGGTAATGAAACATTACCAACAATACACTTTTTACCTTATATTCCCAAGAATCCCATTCCACCTTTTCTTAGGTATTAGACAATTCCCTCCACTTTGAACAATAGTACCTATTAGGATTGATGAAACTTAATTTGAACAATCGAAAAATATACAAGGGGGTGAATTGGCAAAATTTTTTAGGGGATAAGGAGAAGGAAAAGATAAACAATTTTGGCACAACGATTTATAGTTGTTCGACTTCTCAACTAAGTCTAACTCCACTACCTTAACTCCTCACTAGGGATTTTTCAATAAATTCACTAATTTGTTCTTTCTTTTTCAAGGACAAAGAGATAACCTTTACAACTCCCTATCTTTTCAATTTGATAAGATAGAACCAAAACCCCTTTACAAAAGGTAAAAAGAAGTAAACAATAAAACCTCTACAAGGTAGGGTGTTTACAAAGAATTAAAGCTCACAAAAACACAATATTTACAAGAGAAAGTAAAATAAGAATGAAAAATCTTCTCTTGTGTTTGATTGCTTGGATATGTGTTCTAACCCTCATTCAAGTGTCTTGAACTTGTATGTATAAGTTGGAATGAGGTTGTGGTTGTTTCTAGCTGTTGGGATGATTTCTAGCCGTTTGGGGATGTTTTCTCTGCAAAATAAAACTATCCAGGACAAAGGTATCGATACTCCTATAGGGAGTATCGATACTATCTTTGTAATATTTAAATAAAACTAGCGGTTGGGCCTGACGGTATCGATACTAAGCCTATGGTATTGATAATACTATGTAAAGTAATATCGATACCCCTTTGGGTATCGATACCATTTTTGCATTCTTGAATTTGAGCAATGCTTGTAGTATCGATATTACCTATAGAGTATCAATACTTCTCTTACCTAGGGTATCAGTACCACGTGAACAATATCGGTACTCTGTAAGAACAATATTGGTACTACGTACGTTGAAAATCAGTTTTGTGCTCAAATTCACTTTTAATGGACTTTGAATTATTTTTTGAAAACTTTGAAATTTTTTGAATAAATTCAATTCAAGTCCAAAAAACATTTTTATCTTGATTTGTTATATCAAAATATAGTTCAACAGTAACCCTGAATAATATAATTATTTCACAATGATCATTTTTTTGTATATAATTACATTAGTATAAATCTATTTTATTTTTAATACTTATTATAAAATAGTATGATGCATATAAAATAAAATAAATCAATTATTTTAGAGAAAATAACCTCAGTGACCAAAAATCCCATATAATATACGATTTTAACCAACTTTTTCTGGATTTGCCAAAATGACCAACAAAATCGCAATGCGATCGCTAATTCGCAACGCGATCTCCATTATCGCAAATTCACATTGCATTTCGCGTTGCGATAGTTGGAAATCGCGTTGCGATGGTATACAATGTCGTTGCGATTTTCCCAATTCGCAATGCGAATAAGTAAATCGCAACGCGAATTGGGAAAATCGCAATGCGATACTGACTATCGCAATGCGATACTTACTATCGCA